ACTAAATTCCTCCCTTTTTGCTCGTGTTTCTTCGGAGAGTAGGATATCTCGTCTCCTTTGTCTATCTAATCCCGTAGATCCACGATACAGGGGTTTAAGCCTCGCGGAAGGAGATCGTTCGCCCGTTGCACCGACGTTTTTACGAGCCCTTCGCAGATTCCGCTCTCTCGCTAATTCATTGCCTTCGGTCGCCTTCGGAAGCTAACGAGCAGACTGCACGGCGAATAATTCTTACGAATTCGGGACAACGGCGCGAACGATCGAATACAGAAGAGGAGCGCGAGAGAGCGTCGGAACGACATCAGACCGTCGTTCGATGATTTCGAACGGCTTTAAATTTAAGCCCAATTTAAGTCTAATTTATTTTTTTATTAACTGCTTGCACTGTGACTTTTTTCGCAGCTACCTTGATCAGCGGTTTTTTCGTCCTCGATCATTACCCAATTTGGATCACCGAGATCTACGAAATGCATTTTTTAAATGCATAACAATTAATTCCGAAATTCGAACGGTATATTGACGATATATATGGACGTCGCGGCGATCAAAGCGTTAAATCGAGAGGTTGCCGCAGCAAAGTTTTCAAGCGATTCGAGATGATCCGATTAAAAATGAATATCCGATTAAGAGGAAAAGTGGAGGGCTAAGGCAGCGAGGTTCGAAGTCGAGACGTCGAGAGGCGCGTGCTTGGTCGTGTGGCATGAGCCAACCAGCCGACCAGGCTAATTAATCGGATAATTAGGCGTTGCATCGCGTCGCGGCGGTTGCCGCGGGAGCCGAGTGGAATCGTGGTCGATCAAGAATTGCCTCCGAATCTCTCTCCCTCTCTTTTGATCTCTCGCTCTCTTGTGCTCTCTCGCTCTTTCGCTCTCTTTTGCTCTCTCTCTCGCTCTCTCTTACTCTCTCTCTCTCGCTCTCTCTCTCGCTCTCTCGCTCTCTTTTACTCTTTCTTTCTCTCTCTCTCTCTCTCTCGCTCTTTTACTCCCTCCAAGTCCGATCGCATCGGTATCAAAACAATATTTGTTCGATACGCGAAATCCGCGGGATCGAATTTGCAGCAAAACGATCTCTCCCGTTGCCCGGCCTTTTATTCGCGCACGGGATATTAAATGGAGACATCCGATCCCCGGAACCCCCTGGGAAACTGTACAGACGCGATACATCACCCGCGTCGTCCATAGTTAGCGCACCCTTCTCCCCGCGAGCACCGTCGAACCCTGTACGGTCGACGCAGCTCCATTAATAGGATGATTAACGATCTCGATGATCGTCCCAGCTCGCGCGAGTTCTTCCTTCCTTACTCTAGGATTAGCTCGGAAAGTAACCGAAGACAGATAACCCGACGCTATTCTGCTTTGGATCGATTTATGGTACGGTCGTGGGTTCGCGTAGCCTCGCTTTTACAAATTGCCGCAGTGAGAATATCTTGATCCTAGGAATTGTAGCTGCGCGTGCCTGCATGCGTGGGTTATGTCTATCTTGACACGCGATAAGAGTTCGGCAACCGCGGGCACCGTCGCGCTCGAAAGTCGCAGGCACGGATTGCGCGACGCGCGGCGACGGACAGCGGCATCCGCGAGCCGCCGCGAGCCGCTAGCCGTGAGCCGCTAGCCGCGAGCCGCGAGCCGCTAGCCGCGAGCGAAGAGGCGCCGGGGAGTGGAGTCGTCCACGCCAGCCACGTCGCTGAAAACAAATCGAATTTCGCGGATCACGCGGCGCGCTGGAAGCCTGACGCAGCGCCCACGTTTTCCAGGGACTTCGGAAAGGTCGCAAACCAGCCGATCGCAAACCTATCCGACCTATCTCGCTCGCATCGATTTTTTTCAGCGTCGAATAAGCTGTTCCGTAAAACTCGGGGGACGACAAATAGTCACTGAAAAGTCGACGATCTTCGAACTCCTGTAAACGTGTACATACAATTTCGTAGCGTATCGCGCGATCCGGGTCGAAGAGCGGAGACTTTGCCCTTCGAAATGACCACCTGTGGAACAATGTAAGATTTTTGTACGCGAAGTTACGGAAGATCGAAGATAGACAATTCTCCGATAGAGAGTTTCGGAGCTGCGCGGTTCAACCGGAAAGTTCGCGCGGCTGGCAACGCTCGAGATCCGAGCGTTCCCGCAACTCGGACAAGACGCGCCTCTATTTCCCGTTGCCGCAACAACCGAGCAAGTTCCGGCGAAATTTCGACAACTCGGTGGAAAGTTTACCCGTGGCGCTGCAGTCGCGCGCGCACCCCGCTGCGATTCTTCCAACGCTGCAGTCTACGGCGTGTATTTGTATCGAAACCAAATCCCGGTTTCTCGGCCGCGAAACTTTACGCATTTATCCGCGGTAGGAACAGATCGATTCGGAGGAATCGAAGAACGTCTCGTCCCGGATTCGATATTCGAAGAAAAGAAAATTCTCTGAAACTTCGGCCGCGTTGCATTCTGCCAGAAAAACACCGCGATCGATTTCTTCTGTGCTTGGAAAAAGTTCTGTCTCCTGGAAAAGCGTCGAGTAACTCGCAGGAAACTTTCGCAGAAATTTCTAACGGATGGTAAAGCGTCGAGTTCGCAGGTTATACCGATTCGTTGCGTAACAAAGCGCTACTACCGTTCTCTCTCGTTTCTCGGCATGAATGAAACGATAGCGCTATCAATTCGTCACCGATAACTAGGTCGCGTCGCGACCTTCGCCGTCAGCAGCCTTCGTTTATCGGCGTCGATTGTTTTCCGCTGACTCCCGCAGACGACTCGAACGGCGGCATAGGCCAGGGGCGTCGAACTTCTTCTCCGTCGCGAGCCGAGCGCCTTCGCCTTCGTCTGCGCGCGTTAGTTCCCCCACCACCGACAGTCGCGAGCCACGAGCGACGCGCGACGGGAGGAACCGGCGTGTGCCGCGACGCGCGAGTGTGAGTGATGCGTGACCCGTGACTCATCGCGGCGAGCGTGAGTACGGTGACGCGTGACGCGGCGCGCGAGCGGCTCGCGAGCCGCCGGTTCGCGCAGCAGACAGCGACGATCGGATCGGCGGTGACTGAACCGTGAATCGTGGTCGCGCGTGGGAAGATAAGAGGCGGCGCGAAGGCCTCGCGTTACCGGGAAACGACGGAGCGAGTGCCGCGCGGCGGGAATCGGCAATCGCGGCGATAACAGCGCCGGCAATTGACCGCCTCCGGCTACGACAGAGCGGCGGCGGCGGGTTCGGTTAATTAACCGTCGCGTGGGAGGAGCCTCGCAACCTCTGAACCCGCGCTATCCGATAAACGTTTTTAACGCTGTCTCGGAATCGAGAAAAAAGGCATTTCATCCCTCGAGTCGTGGATTTTTATTTCGGCCATTATCGATCCGATCGCGACGATCTCTTCGTTGTTGAAATCAGAAAGGTTTCTGCTATCGTATAGGATTCTTCGGTCCCATGATAAATTCTAATTTAACCCTTTGCATCCGAAGCCTAATCAACGCAAAATTTAAAACCGTTTTTCTGACCACGTCTCCGTGATCCGAAAGAAACGAAATATGCTTAGCACAGCGAGCGACGCATTCTAGCCACAAAGCCGAGCTAAAACTGCCGTGAAAATTTTGCTTCCAGCGCGTCGCAACGCCTTGCCAAGCCATAACAACAGTAACAACAACAACAATAACAAGTATATAGGCGAATCGCGGCGGACACCGAGAGCGCGCCGCAAATACCAGCTATCAGCGTCGAAGCAGCAGCCCCGATAGCAGCGAGTCGTCTCGTCGATTCCTCGAACTCGACGAGACTCGCTCCAATCGTTGCTCCACGCGAGCGTCGCTTCCCCCTCCCTCGCTCTCGGATAGAAGCAGCAAAGGCAGCCAGAAGCGCGTCGGACGAGCCGCCGATAACGGCAACGAGGCCCTGAACTACTCGCGCGACGCGGAAACGTGACGAATCGAGTCGGCGATAACCCGGAGCAGCAACCTTGACGAAGATAAGCGAGCAAGGTCACGAGGAAACCGCGAGCTCTTCTCGCAAGTCTCTTCTCTCCCGGCGAAGTTGAACGACGACGGGTCGACTCGCCGGAGACTCCGAGTTTTCAGAGAAGAGCCCGCCGAGTAGTTGCGCCGACTGTTTAATGAGCTCTCGCGTAGGTTGTGCCGCCACTCGTCGGCTAGCCGAGCGTCGAGTGGCCTCCCCACCTGTGCGCGCCTCCCTGCTCGCCTCCCACTCCTGCCTTCTTCGGCGGCTAATGCCGCGACCGTTGTGTCGCTCTTCCGTTGCCCGCGGCGGTTCGGCTTCGTGCCCCGAAGCGACGTCATCCGTGGACCGCGATTAGAGGACGACGAGTCGAGTAGAACCGCTCTCGACCAATCGTCCCATTCTATCCGGTAATCGCGGCCGCTTCTTTCTGCGAGCCAGAGGCTGGTTACCAAGGCGACGCTCGTTGCTGCCGTACACGTCCTCCGCGATGCCAATCTCCGCGCGTCGCGTTACATCGTTTGCAAATCGAACGCGATTTCGGACCCGGCCGCGTGGAGGGGGGGCCGCCACTCGTCGCGCGAGCGACGCGTTCGCTCGGGGAGACGAGACAGGCCCGCCATTTCTCCGAATCGCGCCGTCGTCGAGCGGAGCATCGATCGCCACTCGATTGCACAATCGAAGCCGAAATCGGCGGCGGATTCTCCCGTAAATTCTCCCGAATTTTCCTTCGGCCTGCGAACGAAAATTAACGATTTGAGAAGAGCCTTGCGCGCCTAGTTTTTATAATCGTCGAGAATCGGTAATTATAAAAACGAGCCGCCAGTCTCGAACAATCTGATCGAAAGGCTCCTATTCAAATTGTCCAATTTTTGTTTTGCAGGTTATATTCGAGAGAATTTGCTGTACTTTCTTTTCGCGCGTTCCTCAGCCACAAAACTGTTTAGAAAGCAGAAAACAAAGAGGCGGGGCCGGCAATGCAGTTCTGGCGTTACGATTTTTCCCGCTACGCTGGCGCAAGCCTACTAGCACTTGCTTATCGTTAGTTCAATATCGATCGAGTAATCGAGACTTACATCCTGCCGCATTGGGTCCGGTTGCGTGAAGTCGCATGAAGCAAGTTGCGTAATTAAAATCAGTCGTCGCGACGGCGACGGTGACGAATATACGGGTAAAAATGGAAAGAAGCCAAAGCTCTCCGCGCTTATCTTCTTATTCCGCCGGTAAATAAATCGGCGCGACGCGGGACGAACGACCGAGGAGAGAGAGAGCATCGTCGTCGAACCGTCGCGTTTCCCCCACTCCACCGTCCCCACTCCTTTCTCCTCCGCCGTTCTTCCACATTTTTCTTCATTTTTCCCGGAGCCGGCCGATCGACGACCCCGCGATCATTCGTCCCGATGGCTACGTGATTTATGCTCGACGCACCGAAAACAATCGAACGCCTGCCAATAAATATATCGGTGCTCGCCGATTTATCTATACGGGCACAAGCGAAATCGAGTCGCTCGCCCGAAGACGCGGTGCGCTCTCGCGGTTCGGTGAATGGCGATCCGGCGTGGAAAAGATGCCGGAATATTGTGCTCTCTGTATTCCGAATATGTGTCTCTCTCTTGCCGTGTCGTACCGCGTTGAAGGTCCATTGCGAAATATTGGGGTGGCAAGGAAGTCATTTCGGTTCTTGCAGCAATATAATATAATTATAATACAATATATTATAATTATAATATAATATAATTATAATATAATTGTAATATAATATTATATAATATAATTATAATATAATATAATATAATATGACAATATAATTGTAATATAATATTATATAATATAATTAGAATATAATACAATTTTTGTTGTTCCCAGCTTTGGCAGTTGACACGTATAGGTTACTATGCAAATAAATTCCGTGTAGTTCAGTTTTGTTTACAACTGAAATTACTTTCTTGCCAACCCTATATTACCGCAGATTTGAACAAATTAAGCGCGGAGCCGATTTTGGGAGACAATTTATAACTGTAACAGTTAGAGAGACATTACTGTACAGTAATATTGACCAGAAAAATGGACAATTTGGGAAGAGGAGATGCGATTATTCGAGCCTTGCGGTTTATTGTTATAGTTACAAATTGTCCACAATTATAAAAACGAGCCTCAAGGCTCGAATTAATCGTATCTTCTCTCCCCGAATTGTCCAATTTAGTGGACAATCTGAGCGTCAGTAAGGGAGACATTACTGTAATCTGAGCGTCAATAAGGGAGACATTACTGTATTTGTCAAATTCGAGTAAAAAGAAAAATCGATCGAAACGAACATTTTCGAATCTTCAAATCCGGACGCGAAATTATTGCAAAATTATTGCTTTCGCGCCAAACTTTGAACTTTGTCACGAGGAAACGAACGTTGTGTTTTTTTTCTCAGCCGAGCACATTATTCGAAACTGGTTTTCCGAGGATCGTTGTTCCTCGTTATTCGACGAGGACGATTAGCCCAGCCGCTTTATCGCGGACGGGAAATTATCGCGGACGATTGCCCTAATTTTCCGTCGATCTTTCCTCGGCGAACGGGCCGGGCCGACCCGACGTCGATCGGCCCGACCGCGTCGCTCCGTCGACCGGATCGCCATTCATCCATCGGATCGTCGTCGGCGCTCGTTAAGCCGGGGATTCCGCGCAATTAGGCGACTCGTCGATCCCTCCTCGAGGGTTCGCCGTCGGCGTCGGCGTCGACGATCGCTAATTTCTGCGATCGATCAGGATTTATGCGTGCGCGACGTCGTACAGCGAGGTCGTGACGAGGATAGAATTTTCTAGAGCGCTGTACAGCTGATATACCGGGTGTCCCGAGTCACTGGCGAACCAAAGACGATTATTTACGAAATATATTATTTACGATTATTTACGATTATTTTCGAAAATGGCGTAACAATTTTTAGTGGCGCCTCAGACTCGCCGTTCAAGCGCAAAGGGTTAATTGCATCGAATGCAATAATCGCGATTTTAACAGTTTTTTAAATACAAATAAATCCGATGCTGTTGCAATTATTTTCGAAAATTGTGTAACAATTTTTAGCGGCGCCCGAATGTCACCATTCAAGCGCAAAGGGTCAATCGCTTCTAGTTCGTTTACGCTTCGCTCGTGGCTCCGCTTCTCTCAATGGTTTGCAAAAGTTCTCGAATATTCCGCTCCGATTATTACTTCAGCGTCGCGTTAAAGCGGATACGGCGTTCACGCGGAACGGAAGCTTGCGCGGAAAATTCTATCCTCTTCCACTTTCCGGCGGTCGGTTTCACCGCGTCGCCGCCGAATTTGCATCGGTATCTTTCGCTTTGGCTTCTTTACCACCGACAGGGAGAGATCCTAATCGCGACGATATGCGGTCCGGAGGACCCTCCGCGATCCCCACGAATTTACAGCCGGGAATTTCACCCAATTTTCTCCCTCCGTGCTGGCCAATCGATGAGAAAACGGAGATTTCTTCTCTATTCGACGCGCCGCGAGCCGAGAAAATGAAAAGTCCGCGACGGATAAACGAAGCGCGCGCTTTCTTCTCGCCGAATATCGCGGACCCAGTGGTTTCGCCGCGGGCGTCGAGAGAGAAATAAACTTTTGCGACTTCCGTCTCGCGAGACTTTTCATTTTCCGGGCCGCGGCGCGAGCTCTCGATCGCGGCGCGACGACGAATTAGGCGACCGAGTACTCACCTCCTTGCAGCTGCGGCTCGCCGAGCTCTACGTAGAACAGCGCGTCCTTCTCGTACGAGTCCTCCTCGATTATCGACAGGTTCAGCACCTTTCTGCAACAGAAATAAATAGAGCGAACTTTTAATAATTCTCCGACGATTCCGCTGGAATTCTCGATGCGAGCTCGGATGAAATTAAATCGCGAGTTTCTTGTTCCAACACGTCGCTCGATAAGTCTCCGGTCTGACGCATAAGGGTGTCCCGAAAATGTCTCGCGATCCGGAAGAGTGAGGTTCCCGAGGTGATTCGAAGCAACTTTTTCCTTTGCGAAAACTTTCTCCGAGGCTTCGTTTACGAGTTATCAGCGAAAAATACTGACCAATAAGAGGCGAGCTCGGCCGGCGCGCGGCGGCCCAGCCAACGAGCGCGCGGAGCCCGATTCCTCTCGTTGGCCCGGCCGTCTCGCGCCAAACGATCTCGCCTCCGATTGGTCACTGTTTTTCGTTGATAACTCGTAAACGAAGCCGCGGATCGCATTTTCACTAAGGAAAAAGTTGCTTCGAATCGACTCAGCAACCCCCTGCTTTCGGATCGCGAGACATTTTTGGGACATATATGGCAACACTGTTGACAAACCTACATGATTTCTGGATAGTAGCATCCTTCGAACGACGTATATCAAAATTTCATGACATTTTGACGATTGCAATTGTCGACGCAACCGACAACTATAAAAATAAGCCTGTTACAACTTTTGAATCGTTAGAAACGATGCAATGAAATGTTCACTAAAACTCATTCAAAAGAACAGTAACTCTGAGCTATAAATAACTCAAATTTTCTTGCATTCTTTATTCATTCTCATTCATTTTCTCTAAACAACAATATTCACTTAACTTTCACTAATATTTTCTATTAAAAAGGAACATCGTTTCGATACAATTTTCCAGACTATTTTTCGCTTTCCAAATACGTATATCCCAAGCAAACAAACATCGATTAGCGAAAGCTGATATTTCGGCGAAACGTCGTCAGATTTCGCGAAATCGTGCGAGACGCGCCGCGGTGCCTCGGTGCGCTGAAAATTGAGAGGAAAGTTTCGCGGATGAACCGCGCGACGGCCGACACTGACTCGGTGAACTTTCCTGTCCCGAGACACGTTAATCCCGCCGCCTGCGCGCGGCGTAATATTCCGGAAGTTCTCTCTATCGGGCAGGAAAGTGTCTCGTTCGAATGGACGGATTTTTTTGGACCGACGCATTTCTGCTAATAACTAATTTGTTTTTTAAAATCATTAATTAAATTATTTTAAAATATTTAAATTAGATTTAATCTATAGAGCAAATTATATATTTATGGGTATAGAGTTAATAAGATAATTTCAAAAAATACAGTAAAATTGAAAATATAAATAAACATATCAAGTTAAATTATTAGTTGGGGGATAATTTAACCTAATGATCAAAAAATTTAAGTTTGTCAATAGATAGTATAATAACTTTCATTTATTGGTAAACATGAAAATGAGGTTGAACAAATTTAAATTTAAAGTTAGAATTATAATCGAAAATTAAAAATTATTTGGTAATCAGCAATATTAACTAGGATAAGAAGCTTATAATAAACTAAGTTTGAGGCAGTATTATTGATAAATATAATAATGATTATTTCTATCACATTTTTGCCAATAACTAATTGATTTTTAAAATCATTCCGTTAAAATCATTCTCGTTCACCGAGGAAAGGTGCCTGGCTCTCGGGTACTTTCGGCGGGGATCGCCAAATCGCGCGGAGATCGGCCGGCGACGATGCGCGCTAATCGCTAATAATTATTACGTCGACTTTATTTCGCGGCGGCTACGGCGGAACGAGGGGCGCTTACACGATCAGCCGTACCGAAATAGTCGCGCGTAAACGAATTACGAAGTCCCGTCTGGCCGACAATCCGAGAAGAAACCTAAGGTCTTTCGAAACACTTTCCCCGGAACAGATTCGCGCGCTTTTCGTCGTTCGAAACGAATATGCACACCTTGTTTCGTAATATAACAAATACAGGATGTCCCAAAAATGTCTCGCAATCCGGAAACGGCGGGTTCCTCGGATCGTTCGAAGCAACTTCTTCCTTTACAAAAATGTTCTCCGAGGCACCATTAACGAGTTATCGACGAAAAAGCAGCGACCAATAAGAATCGTGTACGGCCGACGCGTGGCGGCCCAGCCAACCGGCGCGCGAAGCCCGGTTCCGCCCATTGGCTCGGTCGCCTCGCGCCAGCCGAGCTCGCCTCTCGTTGGTCACTGCTTTTTCGTCGATAACTCCTAAACGGTGCCTCGGAGAGAATTTTTGTAAAGGAAAAAGTTGCTTCGAACGACTCGAGAAACCCACCACTTTTGGATCGCGAGACATTTTTGGGACATCCTGTAGATTCGGTGCGGCAGCGAGACGTTGAAAAATGTTTTCTAGGAATTGTTCTTCCGGGAAGATGAACGCGTTCGAGAAGGGTAACGCAATTAATTAGGTAATTAGGGAACGAGGAGGACTCGGTTCTTTCGGCGAGGTGCTCGCTCGCTCGCTGTAATCGCGCGAGCGGTTCCGGCAGTTTCCTCGCCGGAAAACTTCGGAGACCGCCCTGCAAATTGGGATTGCCGGTCGCGCCACCGGCGTCCCTCGCAGGCGGGCATTTCTTGTTTCAACAGTTTCGACTAGTTTCGAGTACGAGGAGGGCCCCGTTGTTGGTGCTGTTGTCACGGGAACAACTCTCGAGGGCCGGGGGTTAACGATCCGTACGCGCGACCGCCGAGCAGCCGAGAACCAGAGACGAAGACGCGCGATTGAAACTCGTTCGCGTCGACGCCGCGAGCCGTGCGTCCCGCCACAATCGCCGGCGAAATCAGCGCGCGTATCGTCCGCTGCTTTTAGAAGGCTTTCGGCTGATAACGTCAGCGCGGATGATCGACGACGACGAGGACGACGCGGGTCTCGCGAGGCGTTCACGTCGCCGAAACCTCGACCGAAATGTCGATCATCAAGTGCTATTTCGAATAATAATTATTGATAAATAAATAATTGTCGACAAATATTGATACTTATCATAATTATCAACAAATATTGATACTTATCATAATTATCAATAAATATTGATACTTATCATAATTATTAATAAATATTGATAATTATAACCAATAAGTAATAATATATATCAAACAATAATCAATAATAATAATATCAATAAATATTGATACTCACAATTATCACTAAATAACAATATGTCAATCGATAATAATAATATCAATAAATATTGATACTTATCATAACTATCAATAAATGGATATTCATACTCATCATAATTATTAATAAATAAATTTATGAAGCGACGGACATTCATGGAGCAAGACACATACGACAATTTTCGACGCGAGCAAATGATATTATTATCGAAAGTACCGGACTCGCGCGCGCCGAAACGATCCGCCGCATCTGTCCGCGTCCGCGAAGCGCGCCTGAATAGTTAACGAACTGTATAGCCGCGAATGACAAGGATTTCGCGGAACGACGCCGCATCTTACCGTCCGGAGAAGATCGAACGGGCGCGTCTCTGATATCGCGATCGATGCGAGGAACGCCACCACGAGGCTCGACCTTTCGCGGCTGCAACCTTTCGCCGTTTCGATGAAATTCCTTGCGAAAGGTCTCGCGTGCGATTTCGATCGGCAACGGGAACGGCAAGTTTCGGCGAAGATCGGAGAGCTAGAGGGCCGAGCAGCGAAGCGATGCAGCCTCGGTGGCCCGAGCTCCGCAGGAATAGAGGAGCTCGGGGCATTAAACAATGACACTTTGTCCGGGCGCTCGCAGGCTCCCGGCCGGACTAATTCGCGCTGTTCACCGGCGGCGTCATCGTTATCCGATCATAATGCATTCAAATGTTATTCAATGCGTCGGTCGTGTCCCCTCGCGAGCGTAATGCAGATGCGCATTAACCCAGTTAGATCTCTGTTTACGGTGGCGAGCGGTCGTCGCTCGTTCCGTCGCGACGCCTCGCGTTGCGACGCCCCGAGCGTGATGCGTGCGCGTCGACTAAGGTTTCGAGCGTCGAAATCGTTCGAACGCGACGGTGGCTCGAACCGGGAGAGGGAGAACAAAAGAGAGAGAGAGAGAGATAGCAAAAAAGAGAGAGAGAGCAAGAGAGAGAACAAAAGAGAGTGAGAGAGAGCGGGACAGAACAAGAGAGAGAGAGAGCGAGAGAGAGGGCAAAAAAGAGTGAGAGAGAGAGCAAAAGAGAGCGAGAGAGAATGAGAGAGAGCGAGAGAGAGCAAAACAGTGCGAGAGAGAGCACAAGAATGCGAGAGAGAGCGAGATAAAATGTGAGAGAGAGAGAGAGAGAGAGCAAAAAAGTGCCAGGAAGAAAGAGCGAGAGAGAGGGCGATAGAGAGATAGAGAGGGAGAGCGAAAGAGTGAGAGAACGAGACAGAGAGCGAGAGAAAGCGATAGAGAGAGGCATAGGAACACGCGTTCGAATAAACCTCGCCTGTAATTAAAAGATGATTGGATTTCAAACGGACCGACCAGTCCCGCTATGCGCGGTGCGCGCGGGTCCTCTGCACTCTGCACGACGATCCGTGGCTACGGGAATCGATTCGAAAGCCGCGGCGCTGCGCGAGTGGCCCACCTTTGTCGGGCTTGACTCGGGCCGACTCGCTCCGTGGCTCGCTCCGGCTCGGTTCGAAAACCGCGGGCTCCCGGCCCGACCGCCGTGACCACTCCGCGTCTACCCGCGACTTTTGTACGGGAGACCGCTGCGAACCGCAGCCGGTCGCGAAATGCTGCACGTGTTCGTTGAATTTCAAATCGTGCACGGGATGCCTCGCGGAAATTAGTCTACCGAGTCTGCAGGAGTAATCGCGGTTGCGGGACGTTCTGCGACTGTCCACGGCTATTTTCGGCGCGACCGCGTCCGATCGTGGATCGTCGCGGCGCGCCCTCGGCCTCTTCCATCTATTCATGGAAATAGTTTCTGCTCCGAAACGTTGTCGCAAGTTCGCACGATTTTGCTCGTCGGAGCGAAACGCGGCGTGTCGCGTTCGAAACGGAAACGAACGAGGCGGGTCTCGATCGAGT